CTCTCTCTCTCTCTCTCTCTCTCTCTCTCTCTCTCTCTCTCTCAAATAAAAAAACAGTAAAATAAATCCCTAAACAAAAAGTAAAAAAATAAAAAATGAAAATAATAATAAATGGTGTGCGCACCCGGCGCACCTGCGCCCCGCCAGCGCGTACCCCCCAGGGCACCAGCGCACCGGCCCTGAGCGCAGCGCACTGCGCACCCGGGTGCGCGGCGCGCGCCAGTGCGCGCGCACCTCGGGTCCGCGCACCACATAGCGCGCGGCGCACCATGCACAGGGTCGGTGCGCCGCAAGTATGCTGAAAACCAATGTCAATGAGATCTTGCTCTCGCCACCAACAACAAGAGTGTCCAAGCCCTATCTCCCTACTTGGCGCTCGACGCCCAGCCTACTTCCTACACAGCTACTGTCTGCCCACTAATTGACAATGCAACTGTTGACGTCAGCAGCCCACGAAGTACTTGAAGATGTCGCCCAATGCAGACCATCGCCAATATCAGGTATGTGCCCTCACGTCATCATCATCATCATCCTTCTCTCTCTCTCTCCTGTCCTACTCCCGCGTCTTCCCTCTGAACACCCGAAGACCACCCCTGCGCCTCACTGTAGACCAAGCCCACCCAGCTATGGAGGCTGGGGTATGGCGCTGCCCTCAGCAGGGCCCTGCTTCCTACACGACCGCATGCGCTAGCACCTTGCCTCTCAGCGCCAGCAGCAGCCTACGAGCGTTCGCTCCAGCAACGCTGCCGCCAGCATGCAAGTGCTGAATGCCTGGCCGGGCAGCAAGCTCTTTCCTATATGGAAAGAGCCTGCCTCTCTCGGCGGCCCAGCTGGCCTGGGCCTCTGCCCAGAAGCTTCCGGTAGGCCCCAGGAGTCTGTGCCTCCGATGCTGCTGCTGGGCCTCTGTTCCGTTGGGCCTCCCAACTGCCTGTGTATGAGGCTGCGATTCTCGCACAGGGCCTGCACTTTTGGAAAGGCCTGGAAGGCCGTGAAATGTCTTGCAGCTCGGCCCGTGTTTCCCTCAACCAACTGGCGCGTCGAAACTGCCTGGACCCCAAATACGAAATTGACAGCTGAGGGCCTCTCGTGATTTGTTAGGCGCGCCTTCACTTAGGGCGGGCACATCTGCAGCAGAGGCACAAAGTAAAATCTCTGCTTTTGCCTCTATAAACTTATTTGTATTGTCATTCCATTAACAAGTGGAGGAAGTACTTAGGCCTGCCGAGGACCCAGATCCTCGCATTCCCTCCTCCTTTTCTTCGATAGTCCTCTGAGAAGTCTTCTAATCTGCAGGCATCTTCCACTTGAGTTCTCTTTCATAGCCTGCAATAACTTGAGGTGCTGTTCGCATGAGTTCTTCTCTAGTGAACCACAGATCTTCGATGGGATCCAGATGATGTCTGAATCTAACACAGTATTGCATTCTTGACTTAGGAGGGCGGCCTCTGCCTGGCAGTTTAGGCACTGGCATCACTCGATGCTCCACAATTCCGTCGATTTCAACTTCACCATCCACGGTTGGGGGCAGCATTGACCAACTGGAAGAAACCTGTGCAGTTTCTGCGAAAGGTGCCAGCTTTGAGGCGTGAAAAACTGGGTGTGTGCGTAAAAGGTCTGTCTATCTGATCCCCCACTATATCTAGGACCTTCCAAGGACCGAAGTACTGTGGCAACAATTTGCGAGATATGCCCAGCTCCTGACCCAGTTCAGATGATTTGACCCAGACTGCAATCATAGCATCCTGAGACTTTCTAATATGTTCGACGGCCTGCTGCAGCATCTGCTCATACTTGACATCAATCTCTATGCTGCCAGGTGCTGCAGTGGGCTGTCTTTCTGGTAGCAGAAAGTCAAGTGCAGTTCTGGGCTTCCAACCAAGGTGCAGTTGGTTGGGAGTCATATGTTACATGCCCAGTTGGGCGATGTACATATATAACCGAGGATCCGCAATGTGATAAAAAGGACTGAATTGACAATGCAGTGCAAATGAAATCTCAACAAGCAGTGTACATCCTGATACCTACAAACATGGTGCTTTATAGCGCAGGGAAAGACTTAGATACAAGTCCTGACCTGACCGGGACTGACCTCTAGCACGTAGTGCAAGACAGCACAGCAGAATGCTAGGATACCAAGGACTAGCCCAATCAATGTTGCAACGCAGACCAAACATACATCATCCTCATCACAAGGTGTGAAGGGGCCTGGCGCTACACACAGGAAGAATGCGCCAGGTCCAGATCATGCACAGACGAAGAGGAGGGGAACAAACGAAGAAGAGGGGGAGAGATGTGAATGTCATCAACACCAAGTCCTTGTTACAAGTCCCAAATAATCCCTTGTCAAAACGTCTGAAACCCAATGTCGAGTCTGGATCCAAATGTCACCAAGCCCTCTCTCTCATAGTCTGCTGATGCAGTGAAGTCAGGTAGCGAGAGGGTGAGAGGGAGATGGTGGACTGAGAAGAGGAAGAATAAGAACTCTCTCTCCCCCATGTGCCACGTACTAACCTGTGAAGTTGGCGCTGTGCTGCAGGTACCTCAAAGACGGAGCTGGAGCTATGGCGCTGCAGGTAAGTCTCCCTGGCCTCCACCCAATCTCTCTCTCTCTCTCCAGTACTACTCTAGCTCCTACTAGCGCCCAGCGCTGAAGACTACTGCTAACGCTACTAGCGCCCAGCGCTGAAGACTACTGCTAGCGCTACTACTACTCCTGCAGCTCTCCTCCAAAGTGCTGCTGCCTAATCCTGAAGACTACCTCCTGCCTCCTGAACTGCACGTGAAGTGCCTGGAAGTACCTAGGAACTCCCTGCAGCCTGCAGGGCAGGCCAGTCCTTTATAGTGTTGGCCCGTCCAAGAGCCTGCTCTTGCCAATGCCGAAACGTGCCAGACCCTGGCGTTGAAGCTCAACCAGGGGTTGTCTTGAAAACAGGCCCAGAATGGCCTGTGCTAAAACCCTGGTTTGGTGCCTGACTTTCAGGGCAGGTTGAACTCATGAGGGCCTGAAAATGGCCCTAAGTTTCAGGCTGAAAAGACTCAGGGCCGTAAAGGCCCTGATTTAGGCTGAAACGACACAGGGCATGTTGGCCCTTGTTTTCAGGCTTTCGGGCTGAAACGACACGGGGCCTGTAGGCCCTTGTTTTCAGGCTTTCGACCTGAAAACGTCATGGGCCTGAAAGTGGCCCGTGCAGCCTGTTGCAGGCGCAACATGTAACACCCCCCCCTCCTTGTGAAGTCAAGCCTGGTCGAGGGCGAAGCTGATGATCTGAAGGTGGAACCTGGACGCGGGTGAGACGTGGAGCCGAAGGTGCCGGCTTGCCTTGCATCTTGCGTTCGTAGTGTGCGAGAACGTCCGGAGCTGTTGCTTGGAGTTCCACACAGGTCAACCAACGGTCAGCTTTGTGAGTGCAGTACGCAAAATGTACCAAGTACTCGGTTGGCCTATTGTCGTAGCGTCGCTGGGAGATGATGTCGCCGACCTCCTTAAAACCGTCCATAGAGGGTGGGTCTTGAGATCGTCGCCTGAGAAAATCGTCATGTTCCGCTGTTGTGTAAAGAGCCAACTTGGGGCAATGAAAGACTGGGTAGACGGGCAAGTGGGCGGGCACCTGAATGGTGAAGGAAGGTCCTTCCGATGAATCCCCAGCGGGTGCCTGATAGGCCAGGGCCCCATCCATTTCGGGAGGAGTTTGCGAGAGATATCTTGCTCAAGGCTGGATTCCACGGCGGAAACCCAAAAGAGATCGCCGGCGTGGAATGAGCAAGGAAGATGCTAGCGACTGGCCTATTGGCTCATGCGTTGCTGCGTCTTAGCCATCTGGTCGCGTGTCTTGACAAGTAGCTCTTGCATCCGATGCAAGAAAAGCAGATGGTCGTCGCTCTCGACTGTTCGTGGAATGATTGTGTCCAACGGAGAAGTGACCGGCGAGCCGTGCTCGAACTCGAAGAACGACATCCCGATAGCCGGGTGGATGGACGAGTTGTATGCCAACTCGACATCCGGCAGCCGGTCAACCCAATCCTTTTGGTTGGGACGGATGAGAGTGCGAAGGAGAACCTGTGCGGTCTGATGCGCCCTCTCCGTTTGGCCATCAGTTTGGGGGTGGCCAGCCAAACTTGGCTTGAGAGATGAGCCCCATCGCTTGATGAGCGCCAACCAGAAATCGGACATGAACCGAGTGTCGTGGTCGCAGACGATTTCCTTGGGGTAACCCTTGGTTCGAATCCAACCGGCGTAAAGAACTTTGGCCAACTCCGGTGCCTTGGCATGATAGCGGCAAGGCAAAAACATGGCGAACTTAGTGAGTCGGTCGACCACCGTGAGAGACCCATCCACACCAGTCTTGTGCTTGGGGAACGGCCCGGTAATGTCCATGACAATCGCTTCCCTTCGGTGCAAAGGGGCCCGTAATGATCGCAACTCGTCGTACGGACGACGGTTGTGGGATTTGCAGCGTCGGCAAACCTCGCATGACTCGCAATAGCATGCGACGTCGCCGAGAAGGCCGGGCCACCAAAATCGCTCGCGAAGTCGGCCAATCGTGCGATTGACGCCAAAGCGTCCGGTGGCGGGAGCATCGTGGAACTCGCCAAGAAGTCGTGTACGCAAGTGAGAGTCACTCGGTACGCAAAGAAGGTCCTTCCCCCTCATGTGGACAAGCAAGTACCCCTCTTGGATCCGGTAGTGAGAAGGCGTCGGATTAGGAGAGGAGCAATTCGCGTAATTGTCACAAAACTCGGGGTCCGCTTGGTAGCCACAGATGAAGTTGTCCCGCACGTCGTCATCAATCTTGACGGTTGAATAGACCGCTGTACAATGATCTGGACGTCGTGAAAGAGCATCCGCAAAACAGTTCGACTTCCCCGGAATGTGATCGAGAAAGAAGTAGAACTGGTCAATGAAAGTCATCCATCATGCGATGGTGCTGTTGATTGTGTCTTGGGTCTTGTAAAAGACCAACGGATTGTTGTCCGTTACCCATCGGAATTGACTTCGACCAAGGAGGAAGTGGCCCCACCGCTTGAGCGCGTGGACGAAGGCGAGGAGCTCCTTCCGTGCATCATCAATGGAGCACACGACGGGCACTTTCTTGCTGAAATACTCGACTGGGTGCCAGTGCATGCCATCGTGTTGCTCAAGGACGACACCAATCCCATAGCCGAACGCATCTGTAGTGACTCGCATTGGCAATAGCGAGTCGTATATGCGCAAGACCTCCACAGATAATAGAGTGGCTTTGAGAGCCAAAAATGATTCCCCCTCATCCTCTCCGAAGTCAAACGGTCGATCCTCACATTCAAGCTTGGTCAAATGGGCCGTGATCTTCGAGTATCCCTTGATAAAACGATGGTAATAGCCGGCAAGACCAAGGAACGAACGGACATCCGTAACGTTCCGCGGTTCCGGCCACTCTTGGATGGCTTGAATCTTGTCCGACAACGGACTGATGCCCTCCGGTGTGACAAAATGGCCCACCTATTCCAGCTCTTGCCGGACAAATTCGCACTTGTCGCGGTTGGCTTTATACTTGGCGTGACGGAGCGTCTGCAACACCTGTCGAAGGTGCTCAAGATGATCCTCCAATGACCGCCTATAGACGAGAATGTCGTCTAAGTAGACCAGCACGAACCGGTCCATCATCGCACGAAACTCGTTGGTAATTGCCGCTTGAAATGTCGTCGGGGCGTGGTGAGGCCAAAAGGCATGACCACCCACTCAAAATGCCCATACCGCATCTTGAACGCGAATTTGTAGCGATCGTTCGGTCGGATCGAAATCTGATGGTATCCCGACTTCAAATCCAACTTAGAAAAATACTTTGCGCCGCCCAATCGCTCAAGAAGATCGTCGATACGAGGAAGAGGCCCCGCATTTTTGACGGTTTGCGCGTTGAGCTTGCGGTAGTTGATGCACAATCATAAATCCTTGTTCTTCTTCCGTACGAAGAGAACTGGCGCTCCATATGGGGAGCTACTAGGGCGAATCTCGGGAGTGGACAAGCGAGTACCCCACTCGGTACGCAAAGAAGGTCCTTCCCCCGTGTGTGGACAAGCAAGTACCCCTCTTGGATCCGGGAGTGAGAAGGCGCTGGGTAAGGAGAGGAGTTGCTTACTTGTCGCGAAACTTGGGGTCGGCTTCGTAGTCGCAGATGAAGTTGTCCTGCAGGTCGTCGTCGATCTCGAAGGTTGAATAGACTGCGGTACAATGATCCGGACGCCGTAAAAAAGCATCCGCAAAACGGTTCGACTTCCCATAAATGTGATCGGGAAAGAAGTCGAACTATCGATGAAAGCCATCCATCAGGCGATGGTGTTGTTGACGGTGTCTTGGGTCATGTAAAAGACCAACGGATTGTTGTCCGTTACCCATCGGAAATGACTTCGACCAAGGCGGAAGTGCCGCCACCGCTTGAGCATGTGGACGAAGGCGAGGAGCTTCTTCTTGCGTGCATCATCAATGGAGTGCACGACGGGCACTTTCTTGCTGAAATACTCGACCGGGTGCCAATCCACGCCATCGTGTTGCTCGAGGATGGCACCAATGCCACAGACGGACGCATCCGTAGTGACGTGCGTTGGCAATATCAGGTCGTATATGCGCAAGACCTCCGCAGATAATAGCGTGGCTTTGAGAGCCAAAAATGATTCTCTCACATCCTCTCCGAAGTCGAACGATCCATCCTCGCATTGAAGCTTGGTCAAATGGGCCGCGATCTTTGAGTATCCCTTGATAAAACGATGGTAGTAGCCGGCAAGGCCAAGGAACGAACGGACATCCGTAATATTCGCGGTTCCGCCCACTCTTGGATGGCTTGAATCTTGTCCGACAACGGACTGATGCCCTCCGATGTGACAAAATGGCCCAAGTATTCCCGCTCTTGCCGGACAAATTTGCACTTGTCGCGGTTGGCTTTGTACTTGGCGCGGCAAAGCATCTCCAACACTCGTCGAAGGTGCTCAAGATGATCCTCCAATGACCGGCTATAGATGAGATGTCGTCTAAGTAGACCAGCACGAACCGGTCCAACATCGCACGAAACTCGTTGGCCATTGCCGCTTGAAATGTCGTCGAGGCGTTGGTGAGGCCAAAAGGCATCACCACCCACTCAAAATGCCCATACCGCGTCTTGAACGCGGATTTATAGCGATCGTTTGGCCGGATCGAAATCTGATGGTATCCCGACTTCAAATCCAACTTGGAAAAATAATTTGCGCCGCCCATTCGCTCAAGAAGATCGTCGATGTGAGGAAGAGGCCCCACATTCTTGATGGTTTGCGCGTTGAGCTTGCGGTAGTCGATGCACGATCGTAGATCCTTGTTCTTCTTCCATACGAAGAGAACTGGCGCTCCATATGGGGAGCTACTAGGGCGAATCCAGCTCTTGTCCAACAAGTCATCGAGTTGCGTGTGGAGGACCGTAAGCTCCTCCTTGCTCATGCAATAAATAGAACCTTTCAGCGGCACTGCACCGACCTCAAGAATGATGTCGTGAGAGATTGGTCGATCCGGCACCACACCGGTAGGTGACTCGAAGATGTCGACGAATTCATCGAGCAACCGCACCACACGGGGGTTCGAAGACAAGTCCGTGGGTGAAGAGTCGGCTACCGCGACGGTCTGTAGGAACATAGGCCGATTTTGTCGAGCTGCTCGTAAGCACAAATAGCCCGGAATGACTTGCCCGTCACCACTTGGCATCGGATCGAAGGGTGCGGAAAAGGAATAGTACACGACACTTCGACGCCAAAAGCGTCCCGAACGGTAAGAGTCCGTCGGTGGAAGTTGGCTGTGTGATCCGCATTTGCAAGCCAAGGCATTCCCAAAATAATGTCGAAGTCCGTGTCCAAAATGTCGAACGTCACCGGTTCACATGCATGAGGTGCGAACTAGACCGGTACGGCCTCGATGTCAGGTTTACCTTCCTTCGAACTTGTTGCATCCTTCCGTCCGCCAACTTGATCGCCGTCGGGTTTACCTTCCTTCGAACTTGTGTGCCAAGGCCAGCCCTTTGCATAAAGGCTTGGCTCATGAAGTTGCGAGACGCAGCGTTATCCAGCAAAGCGTTGCAGGACACTTGCCCAACTTGGATGTGGACATAGAGGAGCGGTGCGTTGTTGTCATCATACCGCTGCTTGCGAAACTCGAGGGCCACCTTGGTAACATACGCAAGGATGTCCCCCACCGTGACTTCGTCATCTCTCGACGAAGTTAGTGGTGCATAGAAGGATAAGTATGTGTGAAGATGAGCGCATAGTGTTGTGGTCCCGGCAAGCGGCCCATGGTCGGGAGAGGAAGCCATGTGAAATCCTCGGACGTGAGCAGGTCCAAGACCTCTATGTCGAACTCGCGCGCCGAATCCCGTGAAGAACCACTTGAAGACGATAAGTCGTCGCTGCCAATCGGATAAGATGCCGCACACACGTCTTGTTCTTGAGCATGAGTACCCAGCGTAGAAACGAGCCGGACAGCATAGCCCTCATAAGAAAACAGAAGAGGACTATTGACTTCAGCATGTGCCTCGGAACGAAGGGCGGTCACCCGCGAAGCGACCGGTTCCGAGGGCGTCGAGAGTGTCGTCGAGTCACTCCCGGCGGTGCTCAGTTTCCCGATTTGCCCTTGCCTTTCGACGGGCAACCCATTGTGTCGTGGAGATCACTGTTACACCACAGACAATAGCCGAATCTCATGCGTGCCTTGTATGCTTGCTCAAAGAGACCGTAAGGGGACCATGGGGCTGCATTGTGTCGTGGAGATCACTGCTACACCACATACAATAGCGGAATCTCGTGGGTGCCGTGTATGCTTGCTCGAAGAGACCGTAGTGGGACCATGGGGCTGGAGTTGCTGCGTCGGGCCCGGGGCTAGATGCGGTGTTTGTCTTCGACTTGCTGCGTCCTCGGCCTTTGCCAGGGCAGCCACCATCCCGGGCGGCTGCGAGTCTGTCCCCTTCATTGGCAGACACGGCCTCGCTAGTTTGGTCGTTTGGCGTTGCCGCCATGACCACGACCACTTTTGGCCGACGCTGATCTTTGGTCGGGCCTGGCGCAGACGAACGGTGTCGGGACTGGTGAGTCCCGAATGACTTCCCGTCACTCGAGAGACTGTATATGACCAATTTGTGCACGACAGAGAAAACCGGAGGCAGGTATGCTGGAAAGAGCAGAAGCATGGGCACGGATAAGGAAGCTAGAGGCTGCCCAAAGTCGGGGCCGCCAGACTAGAAATGGGTTGGCTAAGCAGAAAGTGGCAGAAGGACTGTGAGAGAACAGCAGGGGCGACTCCTTCCCCAAGGATGGAGAAGGGCCGCCGGGAAGTTGATAGTAGCATAGGAGGTGCGCAACAAGGGAAGGAAGGAAGTGGGAAGGGACAGGGCGCAAGGCGCTGATGCAACGCGGCGGCAGGAGGGTCAGGGAGACCGCAGGGTAGGTGGGAGCCGGCACCCGGAACGGGATACCATGCGGGACGCAATAGGAGCGGGGGGCGGAGGTCGCTGGAAGGCAGAAAGACGTCAGGGGCACCAAGGAAAGAAGTGGTACAGACGGGGCAGAAGTGTCGGGGACCACATGGGATCGAAGGACGGGGCGGTACCAGCAGGACAAAGCGCCGGGGACCACGCGGGACCAAGGGACGGCATGGCGATGCTTCCGTGATGTTTCCCTTGGTGTTGATGCTTCAAACTTTGAGTTTTCACTTATTTGGGAGCCTAGGTGAGTTGCGATTCACCTTATGAAAGTTTCGTGATGTTTCCTTTGGTATTAATGCTTCAAACTTTGAGTTTTCACTGAATTGGGAGCCTGGGTGAGTTGCGATTTACCTTGTGAAAGTTCCGTGGTGTTTCCTCCTCATAGGACGCTTCAAATCTTACCTTTATGCAGTCCTTGATGGGTGTGTGTGTGGCGCTTCACTTCGGGATACTTCCGTGATGTTTCCTCCTCATAAGATGCTTCAAATCTTCCCTTTATGCAGTCCTTGATCGGTGTGTGTGAGGCGCTTCACTTCGGGATACTTCGGTGATGTTTCCTCCTCATAGGATGCTTCAAATCTTGTCTTTATGCTGTCCGTGATGAGTGTGTGTGTGGCGGTTCACTTCGGGATACTTCGATGATGTTTCCCCCTCATAGATTGCTTCAAATCTTGTCTTTATGCTGTCCTTGAAGAGTGTGTGTGTGGCGCTTCACTTCGGGATACTTCGGTGATGTTTCCCCCTCATAGATTGCTTCAAATCTTGCCTTTATGCTGTCCTTGATGAGTGTGTGCGTGGCACTTCACTTCGGGATACTTCGGTGATGTTTCTTCTTCATAGATTGCTTCAAATCTTACCTTTATGCAGTCCTTGATGGGTGTGTGGGTGGCGCTTCACTTCGGGATACTTCGGTGATGTTTCCTCCTCATAGGATGCTTCAAATCTTGTCTTTATGCTGTCCTTGATGAGTGTGTGTGTGG